AGTTCTGGGGCTGCGGGCGGCGTTGGGATGCCGGGCCGAGAGGCGGAGGTATGACCGGGCCGGGCCGGGCCGGGCCGGGCCGGGCCGGGCCCTCCTCGCTCGCTGTGCCGAGGAGAGGCCGGGAGCAGCGCCCCGGTGGGAGGCGAGGGGGGACTCGCCGCGCCCTCCGCGCCCTTGCCCTGCTGCGTTGTGTTCCGCGGCCCTGGGGCAGCGGGTGGACGGGGGGACAAGTGCAGCCCCGTGACGGTGGGTCCGGGCGTACTGGGGGGAGCACTGCTGGTTTAGAGTGTGCCTCACACTGCTTCTAATCTGTCCGTGCTTTCTAATCTGTCGTGATTCTGCTGCGCCGAGGAGCGCAGAAACTCGTTCTCCATTAGCAAACGCCGTTATGTGTTTATAATAATAATAATAAACAAAAAATCTCGAAATGCTAGAAAATCTTCACCCTGCCGTGGGCTTTGTGCCTCCTGCCTTGTTTCTCCCCGAGAAGTGGCGGCAGCGGCAGCCGCTGTGGATAGGAAAGGCAGCCTCAGCTGAGCAGGCCGTGCGGGGCTTGGAGCGCCTTTGGGCCGGGTTTGGTGTGCAGGGCTGGAAGTGCTGCCAGCGGAGCTGGGTGGGATTGCGGCAAAGGTACGGGTAGGTGGTGGGAAAGAGAATGCCTATTTCCTTTGTCGTGGCAAAGGGTAACCAAATGGCTGCTTGTACATTTGATGTTCAGAAAACTCTTACCAACCACCGAATTTCGAGGAGATTCTGGAACAATCTCCCAGAAAAAGCAGAGGGACCAAAAACCACAAATAAAACTTGATCAGCCTCACAAAAAGTCTGGAAGAGCATCCTGTGCCCTAAGCAGCTGTCCTTAGCATCTGGGTTCAGCTCACCTTCCTTCCTGTAACATACGACCTATCAGCTGAAATATTTCCTTTTATACCATTCTTAATTAAATAGCCATTTAAAGTTCTGTTTTTCCTCTTCCAGATGCATCCAGTCCTGAAGGCCTTTGTGTGTGGCTCCATCAGTGGCACTTGTTCCACGCTCCTCTTCCAGCCCCTTGACCTGCTGAAAACCCGCCTGCAAACTCTGCAGCCTGCTGTGAATGGGTGAGAGGAGGGGGATGTGTCTGCCTGGGGGGCCTTGGAGGTGCTCTGCCATAGGCTTCTGCCTTATTTGCTGGCTGGGGCTTGGAGTCCAGAGTTGTAATTTGGGAAATCAGTCTTTCTAAAATAGGAGGTATGTTTTTATATTATGGAGAAGGATTGTTATTTTGCTCCAGAAGAGCTAAAATGTCTGTGGTTGTGAATGCTACTGGAATAACTTGTAACCTCAACATTTGTCCTCATCTGAGAGACTGGTGTTGCTGGAGTGGCTACCAACCTCTGCCTGAAAAAAATTCTGGATGATTGTTAGAGAATTTTTCATGTGTGCAGCTTGGTCTAGTCAACCTGCAATCTGCTGCTGCTGCTTACAAAGGGAATGGGCAACTAAAAATGCTAATGGGTTACAAGTTGTGAGATACAGAAGGTGATGGAGAGGCCCTGGAAGGTGTGACCAACAATAGCAGACTGATAAGGATGAGCACCTTGGAGGTGCTGAGTTAATGCACAGAGATATGAGTGAAAAGGGTGGTTGTGGAGTACATCTGACAAGGAGCAGGAGCAGGTAATTTCTTCAGTTCCTCTCTTGTCTTTCTTTCAGGTCTGGTCGTGCTGGGATGGTAACGCTGCTCTTTAGGGTTGTTCGTACTGAGAGTATTCTGGGGCTTTGGAAAGGTGTCTCTCCAGTAAGTGGCTAGTTTTACTCTGATTTGTAAAAATAAGTAGATAAATCAACTTTTATTTTTAAACTGTTTATTGCTAATTATGTCTGCCTGAATTTAAGTAGCTAGCTCTTGCACAATTATTAGTGAAACCACATGATTTAGATTAAATCCTATTTTAAGGAGATAATGTTCACTGATTTGGTTGTGGCAGTCCTGAGCAGCTGAATGCTTTTGCAAATGTGGCATAACAACTGAAGGAACTTCATTTTGGTTTAGAATGTCCTGTTCCTAGAAAACTGCCATTGAGGAATGCATTAAATCCTGGCATTATTTGAATCGTTTGACTGTCAGTGCCATAAATTATTTCTACCTTAACTTCTTTCCTGGGCATGTCAACTTTAGTGATATTTTTGTCTTCTACAAAGCTTCCTGTCAAGTTGAACAGTTTCAGAAATGTTCTGTAGTATATTTTGTCTTATGTAAGCTTTTTCTTTCTTCATCTGCTTCTGTTTCTCTTGAAGTCCTTTGCAAGATGTATTCCTGGGGTTGGGATTTACTTCAGCACTTTGTACGTGATGAAGCAAAAGTTTTTTGTGGACCGTTCGCCCACAGCCCTGGAGTCTGTCTTTCTGGGTGCCACTGCTCGTGCAGTTTCTGGGATTTGCATGTTGCCGGTGACTGTAGTGAAGACCCGATATGAGGTATGACTTTCCAATTAGTTCCCTATTAATGGTGGCATACACCTTCCTTGTGATGCAAAATAAATCCTTCTGCCTGGAGAAGGTTGCTGCCACTTGGGTACAGCCAGGAATGTAATCCTGATTTCATCTCAGTTCACACATTGTGCAGGAAATGGTATTTAGGCAAGAAGGTGAAATAGAATTCACCCTAAGATTTATAAGTTTCAGTTGTATATGATATTTGTGTAGCATCTTTCGTATGTTGCCTTCCTGAAGGATTCTTTTAAAGGCTGAGGTAGGTGAAACCCAGTTTTTGCCTTGGGTTGTCCTCTGTGTTGCCATCTTGGGAATCACATTAAGTTCACACTACTGTTTGTTTGGATATTATATCCTCAGGGTGTGTATAGGGCTCCTCAACCTGTGGCTGGCATGTGTATGACTGACCTCTGTCTGCTCTTGCAGAGTGGAAGATTTGGCTATGGGAGTGTGTATGGAGCCCTGAAGAGTATCTATCAGACTGAAGGGGTTCGTGGCATGTTCAGTGGGCTCACGGCAACGCTGCTGCGGGATGCGCCCTTCTCTGGCATCTACCTGATGTTCTACACACAGACCAAAAACCTCACACCTCAGGGTGAGGCTGAATGTTGGAGGCTGGAGTGGAAAATGTGTCCCTTCTCACATCTTGCCCTGCAGCTGACAGCCTGCATGCTCTGCTTGTTGCTCTCCACCTCAGAAGTTAAATTAGTCTCCTGTAGGTCTTTGGGTCACACACTCACATTTATCTGTGGAGAACTGTAGACTTACAGCTGAGATCAGTCCAGAAATGGAGACTGGCCCTAAATTGATTGATTCATGAAGACTGATGTGAAAGTTGGTTAGTGAACTGTCATCTTAAGCACTGCTTGCTGCTTCTGAGCATACTGCTCAGTTTCCACGAAACTTGGGCTCCTCTGATATTAGAACTCACCGGGGCAACATTTGTACAGTATTTTCTTTTCTGATTTTCTGTCAAATTTAGTTGCCCATCAAGTGAGGCTTTTCAATAGTACTAACTTTTGACTAGTAGCCACTTTTCCCCTTGAAAGGTTTCTCTAGCTGCATGCATTTTAGCTTCTCTAGGCTCTGATGTTGATTTAATCATTCAATAACTTTCACTTTGTCAAGCAGCATGAGTGTTCCTGGCCTAAATGGTGTCTGAGTGCATTCCCTTTGCTCTGTTGCAGACCAGCTGGATCCAGTGCTCATGCCCTTGCTGAATTTTGGCTGTGGGATCTTTGCAGGAATCTTGGCCTCTCTGGCAACACAACCTGCTGATGTCATCAAGACACACATGCAGCTGTCACCCCAAAAGTACCACAGGACAAGCCAGGCCATTGCCTTTATCTACAAGGTGAGGTGAATCCTTTCTGATATGCACAACCACATCCTCAATTCTGATCCCCTTCCTCAAAGCACAGCTGTAGTGGGGAAGTTGTTGCCTTTTAAAGGAGGTGAACAAGTGTCAATGCTTCATCTGCTCTTGCAGTTGGACAATTCAGTGTTGGCATTTTCAAGATGATGAAGGGGATCATGGAGTGATAGACCAAGACTATAGTGTGCAGTGCAAAATGCTGGATTCAGATGCAAACCAGCTACAAAATAATTATTTGCTCTTTAGACATAAGAAGGTAAATTAAGGCTCAGGTCTATCCCAGGAATGGGATGGAGAAGTAGTCAAAGCCCACCATTCCTTTCCTGCTGTCAGAAGGGCAGATCTTGGCAGATTCATTCTGTTTTCCACATTGAACTCTGTTCCTAAGCCATAATCTGTTTATTTGTGCATGCATTTTTATGTACCTTTTTTCCTCAAAATTATTTTGTTTAAATTTTAAAAAAAATTAATTTAATTTTTTTTTTTACTTCAGTACTTAGAAATGTCAGGTTTTTACAGAATAACTAAGAAGCTTTTGTAAAGATGAAGCTTTAAAACAAAGACTAGTCATTTTCCTGTACTGTCTTGAAATGATTACACCCTTGCCTTCTCTTTGTTGGACTTGAGTGTCGCTTTCCCCATCTGTTGTCTCCATCCTGGCTTTCCTTTTTCCACTCACTACTGTTCTTGCTTTCCTGGGTAGCCCTGCAATAGTGCAGTGCTACAGGTTCTTCTTAAACACTAAATGCTTCTTTCAGCCCAGGTCTTTCAGAGACTGAGCTGGGTCTGAGCTGAAATACATCTTGTGCTGTTCTGTGTAATAAATGATGAGAAATTAAACCCCTCTAGGCAGATTGGGATGAATTGCAGTTTATTTCCTGTTACAGGATTTCGGGCTGGTTGGCTTTTTCCGAGGCGGTGTGCCCCGAGTCCTCAGGCGCACCCTGATGGCAGCAATGGCATGGACGGTGTATGAACAGATGATGGAAAAAATGGGCTTGAAGTCCTGACTGAGCTGCACCAGAAAGGACCAACTTCACTCCTTCTCCCGTTTGCTGCGATCAGCTGGCACTGAGAAGTTCCCAGTTCCACAGAGGAATAAGCCTTCCTCAGCCAGGAGGAAGAAAGCTCTTCTGAGACGGGATTAGGCCTTTTGGCAAGTAGAGGAAAGGAAGGATTGGATCTTGGAGTTGTTTGATCAATGCATTCCAGAAGGACTGCACTAGCAGAGTGCCATGGGAAATGGCAGGGTTTTCACAGCCTGGTTACTATGCTGAGAAGCCCCTTTTGAAAATAACTGTCCTCACCACCTTTATGCAATGGGATAGTATTAAAGCACAAGTGTTTGAGGAGAAAACGGTGATGGCAGAATCTGCCAGCCTGTTTCTTGCTGTTGTGGCCAGAAAGGCCACAGTGACCACCATCTGATGTAGATCCTCCTTCCTCATATGCTTTATTCTGATAGGGCCCTGGTGGGAAACTGGATGTGTCTCGTAATGCTTATATTGCAGGAGTGGGTGGAAGAGAAATGAAGTGCAGAGGAAAAGCTACAAACTTGGTCTCTGCCATCACTTTTGTACTGTGAGTGATAGCAGAGAAAGTAACTGGAACAGCCTTGCTGTGTTACGTGTTATTATGTGATAGAGCATCTTAACACTCTTGAGATGTCCCTCTGCCTCTACAGCAGAGTTTGCACAGGAATTAAGAAGCATAAGGCACTTTAGAATTGATTGCTACCAAAGTTCTACTTGTTCTCTGAAAAAAAAAAGAAAAATGCTGCTGGTCTAACTATGGAAGGAGCATTCAAGTGGGTTTTGTTGGGGTTTTTTATGCAGTTGTCATAGAGGCTTACTTGCTTCCTTTTCCTTATTTATTAATCCCTGATCAACGTTGTGTGAACTGGTCCTTAGATGTAGCTTTTAGGGTCATGGCTCATAATGCATAAATGTGTAATGGAAACAAATACAGATAACTGGCACTTCAGATTTCCCCTAAAGCATTGCTGGTTGCATGTGGAGTATGTTTTGATTTGGAAAGAAAAGCTTGCTATTTCTGTAAGCTTTCTCCAAAGTTTGAGCCCTATGGTGTTTGGTAGTGACCTTTAATTCCCTTAGGGCTCTACACAGACCCTTCACATTTTCCTGGCTGATTCTTTTCTCTTATCAGGTAGTCATGTTCGAGTATGCCAGAGTTTAAATACACTTTTCATCCTCTGTGCCTTCTTACTCTTTCCTACTGTGTTACTCAGACCTCACAGTGTGTGCAAGGTACAGCCTGCTCCCCTCTTCACTTGTGCCTCTGTGATGGGTTTGGTCCCTTGCAGCTCTGTTAGCATAGCCATGAAGCTGGCGTGGAAGTGTGCATCCTGTTCTGTAGTGTGCCTTGCAGAAAACTTAGCTTTGGCTTTTATTTTCTTAAATATCTGGGGATATTGCAATTCACTTTAGAACCAGAGCACCTCTCTATAAATACGAAGATAGGACGCTGTAGCTGTGTGAACAACCAGTGCTACCTACCTGTTGATCATAAATTTTAGAATGTATTTTGGACAATCACTGCCTGCCCAGGCAACTTCCCGAGCACAAGAGCAGAGGAGGTTTGGGTTGTTAAAGGTGCTCTTTACCAGATTTCAACTCCAAGAAGGCTTGATGACTGATGTAAAAGTTGAATGAAATGTAAGAGGACAGGCTGGAGGCTTGGAAAGTGCTGCTTGTTTTCAGACTCAGCCCATCTGTGAGGGGAGGCTGGTGCTCTGCAGTGCAGGAGTCGCCAAGAATGGTGGTAGAGGGTTCTGTGTGAACATGTCTACATGCTAGCAATAGAGCCCTGCATCAGGTTAGGCATGTGGCACATTATTTGCTAAGTCCTAAACCTGAACACCTGTTCCTTTCTTTTGCTGTTCCTTCTGCCCTTAGAGAGCAGAACTTGAGAGTGCATGAAACCATGGTAACCGCACATCCTGCTTGTTTGCTATCCTGAGCACTATTGGCACAGAGCTGGAGAACCAAGTCTAGGATTGCTGATCTGGCAGAATAAAGTGGCAGTTAGATGAGTTACCTCATTTGTTCTTTATTCCCCTATGTATGGAATCAAACCAATGTTGTGCTGGGATCCTGAATTTATTTGGGGCTTTATAAATCTGGCATGTGAGTTGGATCTGTTGATCATCCTGGGCTGTGGTAGCCAAGGGCAGTGTGTGGGGACACCTGCAAGGTGCTTCACACATTCTTTGTTCTGGATTTAACAGTGGCAAAGCAATGTGCAACTTGTGCAGACAGAAACTTAAACTCTTAAAATGAGGCAGGCAAGCAAAGAATGTGAGGTAATCTGAATTTAAGTAAGGTCCTCACCAAAACCTGAATTTCAGGAACACTTTGGTAGCTTTTATGTCCATGTACTCCTACCTGGTCAAGTAACAAAGGAAGAAGTATAGAATTTATTCCTATGTGCTAATGTTTTAAGGTCTTCTGTGGAGTTGTTTGTTTGTTTGTTTGAAATCTGGAATTAAGCCTAAAGCTTTTTCTTTGGGAAAGTTTTTCCATTTGGCTTTGGTCCTTTGTTACTGGAGTAGAGTGAAAAACTGCATGGCTTTTGGCTTGTGGATTAACCTGGGCTCCTATGAGTTTAAGAAAGAGAGAATCTAAACTGCACTGTGTTTCATCTACCATTGGTGCTGCAAATCCAAAAGCTTATCTACCTGTGACTTGTGAAGAATGAATTCAGTGGTGCAAGCTTGTTCCATGTTTCTCTTTGTTATTTATTTTTTCAGGTGCCATATATGGGGGAAGGGAAAGCCTGAAGTTCTGCTTCACTCTGTTCTGAAAGCTTTATCACATGGTCAGGCATAAGACTATTTCTTAGCTCTGATCTTTACTGTCCTTCACCCTTTTCCCCTCTTCAAAAACATTCTGTTTCTGAAGTGATTTATTGAAGTTACTTCTTGATAGCTATAGCAAATCAAGACAATCAAGTGCATGAACTTGAAGTTTAAATTGTCACCATTCAGCCTAAAGGTAAACTAAATCAAATAAAAGATCTGGACAGAGTTGCTTAATCACCTACCTGCATCATGCCAGCAATTCAACACAAGCAATCTTGCCAGATAATCATTTCCAAAGCCATCTTTTCTTGGATTCCAGAGGCATTGGTGTGCTCCCTCTGTGCACTTTGGGATCACAGTTGGATCCCTCTTGGGCTGACCTCTGTTGCTGGCAATGCACAGTTAGTGATTGTGCACTGTCACTGCTTATCCCTGCAGCTGTGGCTAAGAACACAGTTGGCTGGCATGTTGAGACAGGCAGTGTGTAAGTGAATTGTAAGGAGACAAGAGAAATAGTCTGATTATTCATGCTTTAGAAACTTTGTTTCCACTCTTCCTGTGTGATGATTTGTTTGGTTGGTTTTTTTTTTTCTCAATGTCTTAAATGGAACTGGAGCTTTGGAACATTACATAGCTTTGAGCATTGTGAGTGCTTATGTGTCTATATAAAATATTTATTTGAAAAGGTGTATTATATGTTTCTATTAAAAACTGGTTGCTAAAATGAAGGATGTAATCTCTTCAGCGTTTCTTTAAAAAAACCCAAACAAACAAGCCCCAAACTGATGAAATGCACAAGGGATTGGATGGAATAGAGGCTTAAGAAGGCAAAAGGAGTTTCTGAAGAGGACAGGACTGTTGCATGTGTTCAGAGCCCATAAAAGGGATGGAATATTCTCTTTTTTGGTGGTGTATAATATGCACAAGTTGTGCTAGTACAACCTAAATCAACTTCTCTTAAAAGGAAAAAACACATAGCACTGGGGAATATTGTGTTTTACACAGCTTCTTCTGCCTGCCTGCTGTGTGTAAAGACAGATGGCTGTTGAATTCTGTACTAGCTGGCTAAATACCTGCCTTCAGGTCATTGGGGTTTTAAGCTCTCTGTTTTCAGTCTCCTGCTGATCAGGTTTTTGCTGCTGAGGCAGTCTGATCTCAGCAGGGGACCAGAAATTGTACCTGGGACACAATTGTCTCCTGCAAGGTATAATGCAAGGGAATGCTGGATTGCTGGGATCTCTTGCTGCCACAGGATGGTCCTGGGATTTGGTAGCAGGCAGGTTGTTCTAAGCAAAACGTTGTTGATGCTGAGATGTGCTTCTTCCAGATGTGAAGATCGCAAGCCTCTTCTCTTTTTTCGCTTAGATGATAACATTCTCACATGGAGGAATTTTCATGGAGGGTTATCTGTGTATAACAGACCTACCAGACAGTGCTGAGGTGCAGCCTTGTGGCAGCTGAACCTGAATTGCTCATGCAGGTTCCTGATAGCAAGTCAGGCCTGGGATAGTGCCTGTTCCTGCACACAGGGCTCCCCAGAGCTCTCCTGCTGCCTTGAAGAATCATCTCTTGTGTAGTGGGTGTTGCTGTCCATGCTGCTGATAGCTGCCCCAGCTGTGAGAAGAGATAGCAGACAAGCTCCCTAGCCCTTCTGGGTGGCAGGTGGGGAAGACTGAAAATCTAAAGGCACTGTGGCTGTAATAAAACACTGAATTACAGGTCTCCCTTCCTCATTAAAACTGGGAAAACACTTTGCTTGCTTTTTCAGTTCTTAATGAGTTTTGTGCTGCACAAGCACTGACACCAGAATTGAGCAGAAGAGATTCCTCATCCCACACAGACACATATATATGCATGCTTTTGTGAGCTCCATGTGGGTTTCTTGAATATACTTATCCCTTCTGGCTTTGGTGCTTATATCAAAATAGCAAGCTGATTTTCCTCATTGCAGTTTCTTAATTTGTGATTTTATCAATGTAAAATGCTTTAGGAGTTTTTATCATAATGCATTAAGGAGTTTTAATAAAAATCCCAGCAAGAGGTTAAAATTATACTTCTGCAAGTTTTGTGACACGTGTTAGGCAATTCTAACTTTGTAGAACTAGAAATAAGAAGGGAAGAGATTTGCCAAAGTATGTTTTCCCAAAACACGTAAGAAATAATAACAAACATTTGAAACACAAGCCAAAATGGAATTTACAGGGAAGCACAGTAACATTAGTGAAGTTTCACTGAAGGTGGGTTGATCTTCATAGTTCTTTGCCTTCTGCAAGGGTGCCACACCATCTCTTGGGTGACACCCACTGTCATGTTTGGTGGAGAAGATACTACCTGAAAGGTCTTCCCCAGACACACAACCCAAGCCCTTCATCGCAGGAGCTGTGGAGATGCTTTTTCTGGGGCTTTGTGGCCACCCCAGGCACCTGCTTGAGGTCCTCAAAGCAGCACCCAAAGGCTGCTGGTAGCTCTGTGATGCTTCTCTCTGCAGGCCCCGAGTCTCCCCGGCACTGCAGGAGGACCAGTGGCTCACAGCCCCTCTCCCTGGCTTTGCCTGCTGCAGAGCAAGGCTGTTCCCAGAGACTGCCTGAGGCTCTGCATGTAATTGTGTAACAGAGTTCAGTGTGAACTTTAGACCAGAGAAACCTTGGTGAAAAGATAGGTGATAAGATAGACTTTCACCTGAGGGACATGTCCAGTAGTAACAGATTTATTTCAAACTGTGTTAGCACACATATATAAAATGAAGACAAGCTTTTAGGTTAGCTAAGGAGATAATTTCAAACACTTTACTGTCAAGCTTTATCATGACTTTTCCAAGCCCTCTCATGGGCTGTGGGCCTCATGGTCTACCAGAAAGGGCCACATGTAACAGCAAGAACTACGTAAGTATTGGAGATGCCAAGCAATTCTATAATGCTTTCCAGTGGCATTCTTTTGATACCAGTGTATTTACTGCAATATTCATTACTTGATTTCCAATCATTATGTTCAAATACACTTAATACTGTTGGGATTCAGTTGTGTACAGAAAAGCTAAATCCAGGCTAAATCCACTGCACTCACCATAGTGACATCATCATTATCTCTCCTCTTCCTTCCCAAGCTAATATTCACACTGCTCCAGTCTCCTTAGGCTGTACATAGCTCCATCAGGTCAGCTCTCACTGCCCACAATGCGCTTATCAAAGTGCCACAGATGTCTATAATCTCTCAGGCAATAATAGTTCATGCTCTTGCTGAGAGTTCACTAATCTGTTGCTGAGTTTCATTTTACCTACTTTGTCACCACCATGTGACAAATGTTTGAATTACTCTCTTACAGAATATTCTAAAGCTGATCTGGTAATCTTGTTAATTAACACCATGTAATTAACATAAGCATGACGTTAACATAAGCATGACATAAGCAAAACATTTCTCAGGAGACAAAGAACATACATGAGATGATGTAACCTACTTTAAACAATGCTCCCCCAGAGTAACTCAGGGCTTAGACATCAAAAAGGGGCTGTCAGGAGAGTTCAGGCCCAATCCCACTGATGTGGTTATATGAGGTTAAAATAAAAGAGAGAAAACTAAATGAATGCTGTTGTTAGAAAGATATGAAGATGACCAAGGCACTGGCAGTACTGAGGGCACAGTGGAGAAGTCTGTCCAGAAATGTATCCAGATCTTGATGACAACAAGCATAGCAAAGAAACATTTCTTTTTTTTCCCAAGAAGTTCCATTCTCAGGCCTGTATCTGCTTCCAGAATAGTACAAGGAAGATAAGAAAGTTGACAAAGATTCTTAAATATCATCACTTTCTGTTGTTTCTTAAAAGCAAACAACAAAAAACCCCAAACCCAACAACACACACAAAAAAAAGGGGCAAGTAACACAAGAATGTCTACTGCAGAAGAAGGATTTGTAAGTCCAGTGTCAATTTCACCTGTTTTTCCTGTCATTTGTGCAAAGGACAGGGACACCCGTGGCTGCCCGAGTTCGGTTGAGAAAAGACCTCTGAGATCACGGAGTCCAAGCCATGACCCAACACCACCCTGTCAACCAGACCATGGCACTGAGAGCCACATCCTGTCTGTTCTTAAACACCTCCCGGAACGGTGACACCACCACCTCCCTGGGACGCCCATTCCAGTGTAATCACTCCTTCTGGGAAGATATCCCTCCTAATGTCCAACCTAAACCTCCCCTGGTGTAAGACGGGGCTATGCCCTCTTGTCCTGTCTGGTTGCTTAGGAGAGGATGCCGACCCCCACCTGGCCACACGCTCTTTCAGGGAATTGGAGAGCGCGATAAAGTCCGTCCTGAGCCTCCTTTTCTCTGAGCTAAATACCCCTGGTGCCTCAGCCGCTCCTCATAGGACCCACACTGCAGACCCTTCATCAGGTTTTTTCCCCCCTTCTCTGCACTGGTGATCCCACAAATCCCACGAATTTCGTTCAGAACCAGTGTCG